AAAAAAAAAGAAAGAAAATTTAAGTCTATGTCTTACCACATTTCTTCCTGAGATCCATTTAATTTCTCTAATTCCAGGTTAGAAATGCTATCTTCTTCATTTAAAGTAGTAATTTCATCTCTCAAAATAGAATTCTCCTCTTGAAGCTTTTCAGATTCGTATCTGAAGCACAGAGATTTAAAAAAAAATCGTTATAACAAGGCAGTCATCTGGCATTTTTGGAAAATATTTTCTAGTAACTTCCAATAAGACAAGTATTCCATGCCAGTTATAAAGAGAAGTCTAAATTAGTAGTTTCTTTCTTCTTAGAAATCAAATTATGACATATTGACGAATTTAGTTCAGGAAGTCAAGAATTTCACTAAAAGACATTAGGGAAGTATAGCTAAAAAACATAAGCATGGAGCTAGGAATGGAGACTCAACGCCCACTCTGGTTGATTTCCCAGTGGCAAGCACAATGCTTTGGGAGATGACTTCATTTATTTCAATGTCAAGTCCAATCTGCTCTGAATGGACATAAGTCACATCGCTAAACTGTGTTAGTTTTAGTTTTAGGCCCTTGAGACCTGGAGAAGGAAAATTCACTACATAAATCAAAGGGCCATACAAAATATATACGCTATGTTTACTTTGTGGTTTTACGCATCTCATGATATCCTGATTTTTAGAAACAAAAATGATCTGAAGAGGAAAAACTACATCCAGAATTAAATAATTATGTTTCACATTATTAAGATACTTCAGACATGATATAATATGTAATAAGTTTTTATTAAAAAAAATTTGGGCATGGTAGCCCATGCCTGTAATCCTAGCACTCTGAGAGGCCGAGGTAGGTGAACTGCTTGAGCTCAGCTCAAGACCAGCCTGAGCAATAGAAAAACTAGCTGGATATCATGGCAGGTGCCTGTAATTCCAGCTATTTGGGAGGCTGAGACAGGAGGATCACTTGAGCCCAAGAGTTTGAGGTTGCTGTGAGCCATGATGACGCCACAGCACTCTACCCAGGGTGACAGAGAGAAACTTTGTCTTAGAAAAAAAAATTCCCAATTTGCTAGAAGACTATGCAGTTATATTTTCATAATGATTCTAATCAGTCTACTTTTAGGACTAGGACAGTGATTCTAATCAGTCTGCTTTTATCTTTATTCTCCAGGCATATTTATTAGAATCTGGTAGCTCTAAGATAAATTTCCCTTGTCTGTATGATAAGCCCTATGCACTTCACGTGATGTGCAAACCTGTAAGCCACAAAACATTTTTTCTGTATTAGTATAAGAAGCTAGTTCTTACCTACCAAGGGAGTTAATAATACACAAAAGGCATTCGTTCTCATACATGTTTCTTTAAAACAAGAAAAATAACAGCAAAAAAAAAAAAATCTATCCGTATGAATAAAGGAAGTGCTAGAAAAAAGTTAAAGATGTATATCAACAATGCAGATACTTGCCACTGTGAACTGTCACAGCCCACAGGAACATGTATTTGCTACAGAGGAGGGGAATGCTTTCTATGCAAGGTTATTTTACTTGTTAATACGACACAGGAGCAGAAGGAAGTGTAGAGTACCGCTCTCTTCTCAGAGACTAACACGTTAGTTTCTCTAGGCACAGCAAGCAGCAGGGTTAGGTTTGGTGAGGTGCTCTGCGGGACCCATGACATCTACAAGGTGCATACGTTACCTCAGAAGCTCAACCTTTTGCTGCATCTCACTGCAGGTGACTTGCAAGTCATGCATCATTGCCTTCAGCTCCTCCTCCTCCTCTCCTGGAGAAAGGGCATCTTTTTGCTTAATTAAAGTAGTGACTCTCTCCCTCAACTTTCTTGTCAGCTCCTGTAGCTTTTTTTTCTCCAGCTCTAACTCTGCTATTGTGGCCTGATACTGAAAATGTTTCTCTTGAAAGCCCAGGAGGCCAAGGTTTTCCTCCGGGAAGACTTGATTCTGTTCTCTTGGCTTTTCTTGATGTGTCTGAATTGTTCCAGGTAACCAGGCCATTTCACGTGCTTTTCTGCTTTCCAAGAGCCCTGGGTTCCCCTGCTCACAGTTTTCTTGTTTACAGCCTTCCATACCACGGTGTACGCTCATACCTGTGGGCGTGTGCTCTTCCAGTGTCTGACCAAGTTCAAGCGTCTTTTCATCAGGCTCGACTTCCAGGTTATCTGAACTGGCCTCCCACGAGGAGAAGCAGTCACACTGCCGGGCTGCTCTTCCCTGCAGCTTCTCAATCTTCCCCTGTAGCCTCAGAACTAGAACATTCAGCTCCTCGTTTTCTGTTTTCACCTCATCATAGCTCTTTTCCAGGCTAAGGAATGTTTCTGCCACTTCCTCTATTTTCTTCAGCTCCTCCTGCAGCCTGAGAACCTCTCCGGTGAGCTCCTTGTTATTTTCCAGCGCCTCGTGGTACCGCGTCTCCACCATCCTCAGCTCCTCCTGAAGGCAGTCATTTTCTCTGCTGGCATCTTCATATAACAACTTATACTTGGGGGAAGCCTCAGGGACTCTCTCAAGCATCTTCAGCTTCTTTTTCAGCACAGAAACATCAAAAAGTAGGTCCTGTTTCTTTTCAGAAGCTCGATCGCAGTCTGCACGTAAGACCTTTAGCTGTTCCTGAAGCTGACTAATCTGATTCTTCAGGTCCCAGCTTTCAGTCTTGGTCTCTTCACTATTTTCGAGCTCAGAAAAACTCTCTATGGAAGCTTCCGAGTCCTCTGTTTTGACCTCCTGCCTCCGAGCAGAGCTTGTCCCTGTACTTTCCAGGTCCTGGACCTCGCTGCCTTCTGGGTCACTCAGGATGTGGCTTCTGGCTGCACCTTCCACTCGCTTCATTTGGTTTTGCAGTAAGAACAGCTCTGTGCGTTCTGAAGACTTTCCAAAACACTCAGGAGTTGGCTCATCTAAGCAAGAAGACATCACTGACCCTGGCTCTAATTTGTGCAACCTTTGTTGTAACCTAGAAATTTCTGCAGCCATTTTCACATTTTCCTTCACTGCCTGCTCATGTGCTCTCTGCAGGCTGAGGAGGACATCCCCATTTTCTTCCAATAGCCGCTCCCCTTGCTGAAGCAGGGACATGGCTCCCCTTCCTTCCATCTCCTCTGTTTCTGCCGCCTGACAGTCACTCTGAGGCCTGGGGAGAGGGGATGCTGCCTGCTGCATTTCCTTGATTTTGTTCTGGAGCCTGGAGATTTCTGCGCTCATGTCAGCCCTCTGGCGATCTGCTTTCTCACAGGTCACTTTGTGGATGCTCTCCAGCGCCTGAAGCTTGGACACCATTTCCTGTCTTTCCTGGTCCCGTTCTATTTCCAGCCTTTCAAGCCACTGGCTGGCCAGCTGCTCCGAGGCCCCTGCCTGGCAGAGGACCTGCTCACGGTCCCTCAGCTCTCTCTCCTGACTGCTCTTCAGCTCAAGGATGTGGCCAGACAGCAGACTTTGCTGGCTTTCCGACACATTTCGTAGGTCCTCCAGGTCTTGGAGCAGCTGCTCCCTCTCGATGACCATGCTGTTCAAATGCTCTTTGTACGTTTTCTCCAGCATCTCTCTCTCCTGGGTCAGGACCAGGGAAGTTGCTTTCTCTCTCTGAAGGGTCTCTTTGAGCTGCTCCTGGGCTTCGGCACACTCCTGGGTGAGCTCGTCCTTCTCAAACTCCCACTGGGATTTCTCCTCGTGCTGCTGTTCCAGGAGGTCGGTCAGCTCTCGGCGGTAGCGCCCCTCTAGGCTCTGCAGGGCACTCTCACACCGCTCAGTGACCTTCTGACAGTCAGCCTGAAACTGGGCTTCTATCTCAGAGGTTCTTCTATTACACTCTGTTTCCATTTTTTCCCTAAATGTAGTCAACATACAGCATTACTGAAACTGCTGCCAACTTCGTCAGCAAACACAAAACACTTTTCCACACACAGAGGAAGCTGCTAAGCAAATAACTGAAATACTTTCTCAAAGTGGTCTTAACTTACTCCTCTGTGATTCATTTGCATTAGAAATAGGATCTCATTTCTGAGAGGTCAGCCTCTCAGAAGACAGGCAGCCATAATTAATCTAAGAGACTTACCTTTCTCAATAGTCAGAGGGAAATTTTAGAAATCAAATTCTTTGGCATATTCCTAGATGTATTTGTGGATTTTAAAACAAAGACTTAAATTGATATTTTACTGTAAATGATCAAATGCATATTAAGCTGACCCCTAACTTGGGGGAATAGATAACATTCCCTCATTTTACTATAGGATATTAGGCACACAAACCACACATACTGACAAATTCATTCTGCTCTTGCTACTTATTTAATAAAGTAGCAGCAAGTTGCTCAGGGCAAAGCCTTCAAATCCATCTGAGAATTTCACATACGGAAGGCGCTGCTTCATAGCCCTGGAGGAAAATGTAACTTTGCCCAGAATCCAGCTCAGACACAGCTTTACTCAGAAAGCAAGAGGATCGAACCAGAAAAGAACTACATTTGGGATCATCTTATCCTCATCTGGAACCTTAGGACATAAATTGATTTTTCTCTTTTAAAAACAAAACGGTTTCAATAACCCGGAGGTAGGCTTAAGTGGTCAAAACACTTTAAGAGTCTAGGAAGTCAACGGCTTCCATTCCATCTGACCTGTCCAAGTCTCCTGACCCCCGAGTCAGGCTGCTCCAGCCCCCCAACTCTCTTACCTGCCCTCCTGAAGCTCCCGCTGGTGCTTTTCCACGAGCTCCCTTCTCAGCTCCTCCTTCTCGCGCGCGTGCTGCTCCTGCAGGCGGGCCAGCTGCTCCTGGTGCAGGCGCTCCAGGTCCCGGGTCAGGCCCCGCACCTTCTCGTCCGTCCAGGCGCTGTTCCGGCGCAGCCCTTCCCTCTCGCGCTCGAAGTCCTCCTCGACCCGGGCCAGCCTGGCCGCCAGCTCCCGCTCGTGCTCCCGCCGCAGCGCCTCCCGCAGGCCCGCCGCCTCCTGCTCCAACTCCGCCCGCAGCCGCGCTTTCTCCCGCTCGTGCCCGCGCGCCGCCTCCACGTGCGCCTCCCTGAGCTCCGACGCCTGCCCCTGAAGTTCGGCGATCTCATGTTGAAGGTCCCGAATCTGTTTCTCCAGGGTTTGTATTTCGTTCTCATGCCTTTGCCTCATGTCCTCCCGCTCCTTCTCACAGGTGACCACGGTCTCGTCCAGCTGCTTCTCGTAATGTCGCACCTGCAGGCAGACAGGGGCCCACCGCGTGACCTTGCAACTCGAGGTTGCGGAAAGGGCCGTAAGAGGGGGCAGCAAGCACTTTTTTTCCTGTAAGATATTTCTGGGTTTCCTCATTTTGTTTTATAGTAGCAATTCAAAAACACTTTCAGCAAGGTATTTAAGGCAAGCATGGTTTGCTTTCCTTTTTTAACTGGGTTGTATTTTATTAGTGTCTGAAGAACTCTATTGAGAACTGAGCAGATCCTCACGCACCCTTTCCATCTGCAAACTTAGAGCCTTAAATTCAGACATTTACTGAACACCTGTCAGGTGCCTGCAGACCTGTCGGGCACACAAAGCTGGGTAAGATATAGTCCCTGCCATCTGGTAGAAGCCAGACCAGCTGCGGGGATGACAACTGCAAGGGTGTATAGACTAGAAGGCAACGTACAAGAAAAGGCACAGAGCAAGGAGCTACAGTGTGACCCCGGGACTTTAAGGGGTGGAAATCACATTTGGTTGGGGAAATTCAGGATGCTTGAGGTAGCAGCTGATAGAAATTATGTAGATTTCTAAGAGGTGGAAAAAAATAACAATGGCACAGTTTGTAACAGCACAAGCAAAAGAAGACAGAGTTTGATGGACAATCAGGAACCATCTGGTTTCACTGGAAGATACTGGCATGAACAGGGAATGGGAGGTTGGAAATATAAGTTGAAGCCCTGTGGTGAGGGGTTTGGAGGCCAAGGCTCAGAACTTCTGCCTGATGTAACAGGTAATGCAACATCAAAGGGCTTTTTGGGTTTTTAGTAAGATGTTTTTCAACCAGTTGGAAATAACATAATGGACTTAAAGCTTCAAGTTTCATGTCTGCCAGACAGTACATTTTGGTGAAATTCTCTCAGGAGGAAAAGGCCGGCCTTCCTCTCAGCATAAAAAATCATCCTGAGGAAGCAGGTCCCTGGAAGTCACCAGACAGCAGAGGAAACACACAGAATGTGTTGCTCTGTGAGAAAACAGAGTTGGGAGCATGCCATGTGTAAAGGGCCGTCAGAGCTCAGAGGGGGCTGGCATCTGGGCTGGGTGTGGTGACTCACACCCACAACCCCAGTACTCTGGGAGGCAGAGGAGAAAGGATCTCTGAAGTTTAGGAATTTGAGACAAGCCTGAACAAGAGACCCTGTCTCTACTAAAAATAGAAGAATAAAATTAGCCAGGTGTTGCAGTAGGCTATAGTCCCAGCTACTTGGGAGGCTGAGGCATGATGATTGCTTGAGCTCAAAAGTGTGAGGTTGCTGTGAGCTATGAGGCCATAGCACTCTACCCAGGGTGACAGAATGAGACTCTGTTTCAAAAAAAAGAAAGAGAGGGCAGTGCCTGTGGCTCAAAGGAGTAGGGTGCTGGCCCCATATGCCAGAGGTGGTGGGTTCAAACCCAGCCCTGGCCAAAAATGCAAAAAAAAAAAAAAAAAAGAAAGAAAGAAAGAAATCTGAGAACTGGGTGGGTGGGAGGACTCACTTTATCTTCGAGCTCCAGTCGGAGGCAGCGTAAGTCCCTGTGATGTTGTTCTTTCATCTGTTCGATGACCAGCTCTGCCTCGATGCTCATATTCGAGGGGTTGCACTCTTCAGAACCCAGCCCTGAAAACACATGGGATCCACTGAGCCTCCAACAGGTTCTTTGACTAACACGATCTGGCAACCGAGGAGGGATGCCCAGCTGAACTCAGGAATGAGTCTCAGCCTGAATTAGCCCAGATGGGTTCCACTGTGAAACAACAGAAGCCAAGAGAAGGCTCCTCTGTGTTCAAGGACGAGGCCCCCGGGAGGGAATAAAGGTGAGCAGGTTCTTCCGGGTCCAGGCAGGGCACCAAACCTTAGTAGAATTCATCTTTTGGAACAGGAAGTGGGGGAAGGTAGGGAAATAGTTGCTTAAATGTGACCTCACCCTAATGAAAACGCTGCAAGTTGAGGTCATATAGCATGAGGCAAACCAACCGGACTTCTAGCCATCCCAAAACTACAAATGACCAATTAGCAGAGGGGCAGTGAGGCAGGGGAATGAGTGGCCAGTGTACTTGCTCCCATGTCTTGAGGAGTTAACTCAATGGGTCAAGAATATCTGACCCATCTTGAAACATTACAGAAGACTGGCTGTTGTCCTATGAATTTCCTGTGGTGTGGGTGGATCCCTATCTTAAATTTTCAGGTAAAGTAAAAAAAAAAAAAAAAATAGGGCATAGGTTAAGAACCCTATAGGCAGTTTTTTTGGGGAAATTCTCAACCTATCCATGAGTTCAGCTCTACAACTACCCTGATGATGGTTGAGGAAGATAATGAAATGTGAAGGACACAGGCTAAAAAGATTATGTCTCATACCACACAGACATCTCTAAGGCAAGGGTCTCGAGATAGTTTTTCAGTGGGGACACACACAGATGAGAGAAAGGAACTCTTCTTGGGTATGGGTCCAGCAGCTGGGAAAGACAGTTTTGTGCTGGGCTTGATCTTCATATATTTTGGCATATCCCCAGCTGAGAAGTAACCCCGGAGTAAGCCACCCCATGATGGTGCAGCTTCCTGCACCCCAGAAGAGGACCCTCAATCCTGGGCCATCTGTGGAAAAGCCCAGAAAAGCAGCTGAGGTGGACCCTATTTTCAGATCCTTAGACCGTGAGCCAACAATCAGAGGAGAGGTCTTGAGTCCCCTTCCCCTTCCTCCCCAAACCTGTAGTAAGGAGATAGTACTCATTCTGTAGTAAGGAGATAAGGGGCAGGCATGAGGGACAAACAACCTCTGTAAGAATTGTACTCCTGCCCAAGTGGCAGTGGGGAAAGCTATTTATAATAGAAGAATTAACTATAGTTAGGTCCCTGGGTTATGAACAAGATCTCTTTTGTAGGTTTGTTCTCAAGCTGAATTTGTATGTAAGTTGGAACAGGTATATTCACCTGTCGCTCACAATAGCCTCCATTTGTGAGAGCTGTACATCAGTTGGGTATTAGTAACTCAGGGACTTACTGCAAGAGCCTCTGTGTGGAGGTGCGAGTTGTATGTCAGAAATGTTTGTAACTTGGAGACTGCCTGTACAAGCTCTTTCTAAAATTCAAACTCAACATACCCAAGAAGATATGAGGAGGGGAGAAATGAACTGAGAGAATGTGGGAGGCCCCCTGACAACGGCTGCCCAGCCACGGACTTGGAGTCTCCACAAAGGCCTGGGCCACCAACTGTTATTTATCTTATTTGTTGTTTTGCAGAGAACACAGACCTTCAGCTCCACCAGCAGAAGCAAGCCACTTATGGCTTCTGTGGTTGCTGGCAGGCCCATTCTCTAAAACCATCCTCATACCAGCAGGGCATTCTCAGAAAGGGCAGGCTCAGCCACAGCTCAGTGCCTGAATTCTAACACCCCAAAAGCCGGGATCCTTCCCAGATTTGTGTTTGCTTTTTTAAACACAGCAAATTCCACTGTGCTTTGATTTTTTCCATTCCTTTGTTGATACATATCAAAATCAGATGGAAATATTCTCATAAAGACTTCAAGGACAAATGAAAAACCAGAGCATAAATGAAATAACTCAAGAAAAAGAATATTGCCAGTCTTTTTCTTTAAGGTTGCCAGATTTTTGCAAATTTATGTTCAACCAAAGTTCCAAAAACAAAGGTCGGAGGCCTTAACTAATTAAGCTTTTTCAAATGGTGTGTGAATGTGTTTACCCTGGTCGGCCTCAACACCACCGCCACCGCTGCTGACATCAAGTTCTTCTGACAGTGAATTCTGCAGAGGAGGCCTGAGGACTTTGCCCTGAGCACGGTATTCTTCTAGCTCAGACTGGAGTTCATCCACTTGGTCTTGTAATATCTGGGGTTTAAAAACCAAACCAGGTCTTAGAAGTGACGCAAGGAGCACAAGCAATGGCAAACAACAAAATAGATAAATTGGATATCATTAACAAGTAACTTTTGTGCTTCAAAGGACACCATTAGGATGGAGACTTTACCTCCTTCATGTTTACCTGGCTGGAGCTGGAAAATATTCTTCTTGGCAAAGTACCTCAAGAATGGAAGCAAAAGTATCCAATGTACTCAGCCCTACTATGAAACTAACTTAGAGCTTTCATAGGAAAGCTATAACCCAATTATAGCCCAAGAATACCAGAGAAGGGGAGAGGGAGGGGAAGGGAGGGGAGAGGGAAAGTGATTGGTGGGATCACGCCTATGGTTCATCTTATAAGGGTACATGTGAATCTTTCTAAATGTAGAATATAAATGTCTTAACACAATAACTAAGAAAATGAATGAAGGCTATGTTAACCAGTTTGATGAAAATTTTTTGAAATTGTATATAAAAACATAAAAACAGCACACTATACCCCATGACTGTATTAATGTACACAGCTATGATTTAATAAAAAAAAAAAAAAAAAGTAAAAAGACAACCCACAGAATGGAAGTTTTGCAAATTATATATCTGATGGACTTGTAACTAGGATATATAAAGACTATTACAACTCAATAATAGAAAGACAAAGAACTCAGTAAAAATATGGGCAAGTGATCTGAATACATATTTCTATAACAAAAGTAAGCAAATGACCAGTAAGTACATAAAAAGATACTCCACATCATTAGCTATCAGGGACATGCAAATCAAAACCAGGATGGAATCTACTTCCCTGGCCCTGAGGATGCTAGAATCAAAAAGACATACACTGACAACTGTTGGTGAAGTTGTGGAAAGGTTGGAACTCTTAGACCAGTAGGTGTGTAAAATGGATCCAACCACTTGGAAGAAGTTTGGCAGTTCCTCAAAATGGTACACAGAATCACTGTACAACAAACACAGCAATTCTACCACTCAGTACATACCCGAGAGAAATGAAAAAATATAGCCATACAGAAACTTGCACTGGCTGGGCACAGTGGCTCACACCTGTAATCCCAGCATTTTAGGAGGCCGAGGCCAGTGGATTGCTTGAGCTCAGGAGTTTGAGACCAGCCTGAGCAAGAACAAGAATGCTTCTCCCGGCTCGGCGCCTGTGGCTCAAGCGGCTAAGGCGCCAGCCACATACACCTAAGGTGGCGGGTTCAAATCCCCAGCCTGGGCCCGCCAAACAATAATGATGG